AAGAATACAATCCCATTTACAATTGCAACAAAAAAATAAAATATCCAGGAATAAAAGTAACCAAAGAAGTGAAAGACCTGTACGCTGAAAACTGTAACACATTGTTGAAAGAAATTGAGGAAGACAGAAAGAAATGGAAAGATATTCCATGCTCTTGGATTGGAAGAATTAACACAAAATGTCCGCACTTCCTAAAGAAATCTACAGATTCAATGCAATCTCTATCAAAGTTCCAACGACATTTTTCACAGAAATAGAACAAGGAATCCTATATGTAATATAGAGCAACAAAAGATCCTGAATAGCCAAAGGATTCCTGAGAAAAAAAAACAAAGCTGGAGGTATCACACTCCCTGATTTCAAAATATACTGCAAAGTCATAGTAACCAAAACAGCATGGCACTGGCATAAAAACAGACACACAGATCAGTGGAACAGAATCGAGAACCCAGAAATAAACCTACACATCTATGAACAGCCAATTTTCAACAAGAGAGCCAAGAACGTACAATGGAGAAAGGAGAGTCTCCTCAATAAACGGTGTTGGGAAAACTGGACAGCCACATGCAAAAGAATGAAAGTAGACCATTATCTTACACCATACACAAAAATTAACTCAAAATGGATTAAAGACTTGAACGTAAGGCCTGAAACCATGAAACTTCTAGAAGAAAATATAGGCAGTACGCTCTTAGGCAGCAGTCTTAGCAGCATATTTTCAAGTACCGTGTCTGACCCGGCAAGGGAAACAACACATAAAATAAACAAATGGGACTATGTCAAACTAAAAAGCTTCTGCACAGCAAAGGAAACCATCAGCGAAACAAAAAGACAAGCTAACAATTGGGAGAAGCTATTTGCCCACCATATATCTGATATAGGGTTAATATGCAAAATATACATAGAATTCATACATCTCAACAACAAAAAACTAATAATCCAATAGAAAAATGGGCAAAAGGATCTGAACAGACTTTCTCCAAAGAAGATATACAGATGGCCAACAGGCACATGAAAAATACTCAACATCATTAACTATCAGGGAAATGCAAATCAAAACTACGAGATATCACCTCACGCTCATCAGAATGGTATAATTAATAAGACAGGAAACAAGTGTTGGCGAGGATATGGAGAAAAAGGAACCCCCATACACTGCTGGTGGGAGTGCAAACTGGTGCAGCCGCTATGGAAACATTATGGACATTCCTCAAACAATTAAGAATAGAACTACCATACAATCCAGCTATTCCACTGCTGGGTATTTATTCAAAGAACATGAAAATATGAATACGTAAAGATATACACAGCTCTATGTTCATCACAGCATTATACACAATAGCCAAGGTTTGGAAGCAACCTAGGTGCCCATCAAAGGAGGAATGGATAAAGATGTGGTATATGTACACAATGGAATACTACTCAGCCATAAGAAATGATGAAATCTGGCCATTTGTGACAACATGGATGGACCTAGAGGGTATTATGTTAAGCGAAATAAGTCAGAAGGAGAAAGTCAAATACCATATGATCTCACTCATAAACAGAAGATAAAAACAAAAGCAAACAAATGCACAGAGACAGAGATTGGACTGGTGGTTACCAGGTGGGAAAGGGGGTGGGATGATGGCAAAAGGGGTAATTAGGCACATGTGTGTGGTGAAGGATGGTAATTAGTCGTTGGGTGGTGAACATGATGTAATCTACACAGAAATCAAAATATAATGAGGTACACCCAAAATTTGTATAATATTATAAACCATGAAGTAAAAAAAAAATTAAATTAATAAACAAAAAGAAAATCAATCAATCAGATAATCCCCTTCCCCATCCTAACCCTCACAGTAATGAGCCCTGCCAAGCATACATTTCTTCTCAAGTGGAGAGGGTAAGTTAATTAATTAGTTTACACATGCTCTAGGATGAAAAGCTATCCTGTTTTTAATTAATAGTAAGGAAAACCTGGCCTGATATTTTGGCTCAGGGTTTAAAACATGGACTTTTTCTATTGCCTTTCTTGCATTTTCTAAAAACTCAGGAGTTCTGAAGCAAACGCAGTGTAAGAGCCACGTGATCCCCTAAGATGCACCAGGAGGCTGCGGACGGTGCTCGGGGAGCAGGCCAAAACTAATGTGCGTACTTTTGTTTCTTCTTGGGGCGAAAGGGATGGGTTGTACAGAAGGATGAAGTTTAGCTGTCAAGAGGATGCCCTTTAATGACAAAGCCCGTGGGGGAAGTCTGAAGCCCTGTTTACACAAAAGTCATTTTCCCCCGTGTGTGACAGTCAATAAAGTAAACAGTTTCCATCTACATTTTAAATCAGCGAGGTGTGGATAAAGTTAAAGGATGAATACTGGTACGAACAGGAGAAACGCCACAACCAACTAAAGAACAGTAGCCTCTCCAAAGAGGCTTGGGGTTTTCAAAGATGAGGTGTTTTCTAGCTCATGACCAGCAGATGGCAGCATAACTCAAGGAAAGAGACCAGATTTGTCCACTCAGCTCGGTTTCAAAGGTTCCTAATCTTCCAAGGAGAAAAACACTCTTTTTATTCAATTTGCCGGGGGCGGGCAATTATGGGCTTCAAGTGACAGTGGTTGTACTTTTAGTATTCGTTGGTTAGAAAACATACATATGACAAGTTAAAATCAATTCATTGTAACTTTTAAAGGAATTTGTATTTTAATATCACACAAAAACACCCACACACAGTTGAAACATAGAAACACGGTAGAACATGTGTGCATGCAGGATATTTACATCCACTCCCAGACAATCCTCAGCATGCGTCTGCATTCCCAGACCCTTGTCAATAACTCCACGGTCCCCTGGGGTCCTGGGTCCGCAAGATGGGACCACAGATTTCACAAACGCTTGCTTCCTCCTTGCTGTACCCAGCACCTTGCTGACAGCTTCAGGAGGCTGAGAAAAGTGAAAAGAACAGAGTGGACCAAAAGTTCCCATTTTCTGCTTAGCTAAGTCTTAGAGCTCCTAAACCAGCCTGTCATAAATCACAAGGGCTCTGGCATTGCAATTAACTTTTTAATGCAGAAAACATCATGTAAAACAGGGCCTCTTGGAGTGGAGATTTTCCCAGTGAGATGATATTAGCAGTTGTCAAGGTTACAGGCTTGGAGCCCGAATGCCTGGTTGGGAGAGAGACATTTCTATTTATGTTGGCTGTGTGGTCTTGGGCAAGTGACTCCACCTCTCTGTTTCCCCATCTGTAAGAGATAAAAAGCATATTTCTCCCCTCCTGAAGGTTTTGTGAGGATTAAATGAAATAATCTATGTAAGGCATTAAGGCAGTGCCAGGCACATAGAAATGCTGGATAATGTGAGCTACCACATTATTGGCATTACTATCATTATTATTACTAATATCACAATAGAGTATCACAGAACATTGGGAACTTCCTAAATGAGGCACCTTTTAGTGAATTCATCTCTGCAGGGAATGGTGTCATAGCATGAGTATCATCTAGCCATCCACAATGACCCTTAGATTTCAACATTTCCAAAGCATTCTAATAAAGCAAGGGCACCATTTCTTCCTTGGCGATGCCAAGACAAGATTCCTTGAGTCATACTGAAGAGCCCTAGAGTGAGTGAGAAATGCTGGGGCTATTGCCACCCACTGCCACTGGCTTTGGAGCCGCCATCCCTGCAGTGACCACTCTCAGCAGATCACAGTGACTCTGAAGTGTCTCTGCAGAGGGCGTGTGCATGCGTGGGTGTATGTGTTTGTGACTCAGCTTCTGCATTGAAAAATAGCATCTGAAAATCTGAATTCCATGTCCACTGACACTTGACACTAACCTTCTTTTCCAAAGGTCTCTTATTTGTAGAAATAATATTCCTCCTTTCCTTTCACGCTGTCTCATCCTAAATAACAGTGAACGTTTGCTAAGGTCTGGCCTGGAAGAGCCGTATGGACTAGACCACAGAAGGCATCCTCCTTGGACTTCACTCAGACACACACTCCTTCCCCAAGTGACTAACAGTCATGGGCAGGACCACTCCACTTGGTCATGTGGGTGGGTGTGGGGAGGAGAGGTAGACCATGAGCTGGAGAAGAGACTTCATGGCATTAATTTTTGTACAGAGGTGGTAAATATGGGGCAGTTTCTATCACTGACACTGAACTATCTGGGCCATGGTATTTCTGGTGCCACCATGCAGCCTGAACCGATGAGCTTGCTAAGTACGATTCAAGAAGGGCAACAGCAGAGAAATAAAAGCTCAGCTTAGTGAATAATGTGGCCTGGGGTAAACTTTAATGTCCTGCCCTGACCCATTTGGGGGGCTGCAGAAAGCAGCCTCAAAGAGGCATTCTTCAACCCCAGTGGGCTGGACCGTGTGTCTCATTTGTCTCAAGAAGAGAAAGAGGGGAAGTCAAACAGATTCAGGAAGCAGCCCGCAAAGATGTAGGCAGGACTTTTCTAAAACTCCACTTATCTTTCCCTAAAGGACAATGACACTCTTGATGATGCTAGGCCATGCTAACCAACCCATGGAGGTAATATTAGGTGAAAGACTAACATAGATAGTACCCTGTTGGCCTTAGCCTGGAGAAGCTTCTAGAATCAAAGCAAAAGCTCAACATCCAGGTCCTGGGTTGCTGCAGGGACCTCAGCAGTTAGAGCTCTGTGCCTTCTCTCCAGGCAAGCACCATAAGGGCCACAGCTCTCTTTACATCTCCATCGAAGGTGCAAGGTCTCCGGAAAGCTGGTCTGACTGATTCTCCTCAGTCAAATGTCTCCATCCTTCAATGCATCAGCTACAGCCAGGAGATTAGGGAGGACTGGGAGCCAGCACAATACAGACAGAGCCACTTGACAGAATTGTCATGTCTCTGGCAGCCAGAATAACTTGTGATACTGCAACAGCCTTGGAGCGTCCCCGCCATATTGAATTCCTATCTTTCCAATGGCTCTCTCCCAAGAACAGTGCCCAGGACTGTCACCCCGATCTGGGGAAAGCCTGCATCTCTCACTTACTTGTCATTCACAAGTTTCCCATGTTGGTGAATCTGATTTTCCATCGTGAAGTTGATTGTGGCACCGTACACATGCTCACCAAAAAATACCTTCATTTTGGACTTGTATTCTTCATCTTGAAAATACCGGATCATATCAGGGAACCAAACTGTCAGTCCATAGTAGCTGTAACAGAAAAGTCAGAATATTCTAGCAGCAACACACTTTATTCTACGATCAGAGTCTACATTCTTGACTTGATGTAGATCAAGCTCCTTTGAACTGTATTAGTATGGTTCATTATTAGAAAATCTAATAATATAACTCATCATATTAATAGATCTGCAGAAAAAAGTCATGACATCTCCATAGATGCTGAAAAGGCAGTTGATAAAAAAAAATTCATTCCTGATAAAAATACCCAAAGATGGGGAATTGATGGACACTTCCTTAACATGTAAGAAAATACATATCTCAGCTCAAAAGGCAGAATCTTATCTAAAAGGGAAACACTAAAGACATTCCCACTAAAATCCAGAATGAGACCAGATACCCATTATCACCACTACTATTTATCACTATAATGTAGGTCTCAGCCAACTCAGCTAGACAGGAGAAAGAAAATAGGAATACAAAACTGCAAAGCAAGAGGTAAAACTATCTATTTGCAGATAATACAGTTTTATATCTGGAAAACTCAAGATAATGGCCATTAAACGTATAAAACACCACTCACAGTACGAAAAATGCAAATTAAAACCACACTGTTACAATTCTTGCCTACCAGATTGTCAAAAGCCCAAAGTTTGCCAAAACACTCTGTTGATGAGGCTGTAAGTAAACAGGTGCTCTCATGCATTGCTGGGAAAAGGGAAAAACTGTGCATTACCATATATAGGAGAACTGGTCAATGTCTAAAAAAAATTACTGGTAGATTTACCCCCTTTGACTCCATAATCCCATTTCTAGGAATCTATTCCACTGATAACTTACCCAGCACAAAGTAGCCTACAAACATGGTTACTCATTATAGCATCATTTGAAATAGCAGAAGTCTGAAAACTCCCCAAGAGTCTAGCCATAAGGCCCTGATTGAATAAAGCGTGGTGCTGTACTGTGGTGTGCTAGGCAGACATACTAGGCATGTCACTGCAGAGAAGAATGACAAAAATCTCAGTGTACTGGTATGAGAGACCTCCAGAATATATTGTTGAATGCAAAAAGCAGATGCAAAACAATGTGTCCCTTTGAATAAGAAAATGAGGAAGAAATAAACATGTAAGCATATATATATGTATGTGTGTGTACACGTACATATATATATGCTTAAATTTGCAAAAAGAAACACTGGAATGATGAATAGGAAAACAAAAGATAATTACAAACAGGAGGCAGAAGAGAATGGGCAGAGGGGAAAGAGGTAGATGCAAGATTTCTCTGTTTCAACATTTGAAATATATTACCTATTCAACAAAATTAATTTAGACGTAAGTAAGTATAAGTAAAACATATTCAAAAACTATCAGTGAATTGAATCCCAGAGCCTACCCTCTTTGGCTTCTGGAATGTTCTCTCCTAGTTTTAGACAGAACAGGTGGAGGGGAACAGCGTCCAGCTTCCTCTCTGCCTTTACCTGTTTGCGTCTTCATGAAGAGGTATTGGCAGAAATTTGGTAAGATATTGGAAGAAAGCAGGTCTCCCCACGTCCCTCCCATAATCAAAGAGGTCATTAGAGCCAACTTAATTCCCTGGGTCAAGGGACTGTGGCTTTTGGCACAGCTGGTGATAAACAAGGCAGTTTCATAGACGGAAGTTTAAAATCTCGCTCAAAGTTCCTAATTGATCATAGCAATTTATTGAGCACTTATTATGTGCCAGAAACCACTGGCAAGCACTTTACATATGCAGTAAAAGAGCCTCATAATGCTGCCAGTGGGCCCCAAAACTTACATAGAGAGAAGGGTCATGTTATTTGGAGGTGAGTGAAACGACTGGGGTGAGAGTCTGCTGTTTGAGAAAGGAGCCAGGTAATCAACAATCATAGTATATTTCATTGTCTTTACTGTAGGGCACATTATTGCAGAGTTTCACTGTTTTATCTATTTAATATTCACAGTGACACTGATGGCTGCCTACTCAGCATTCATTCCTTGCTTCTTCCTTGGGAATAGAAACTTGATTTTGCTCCAGTATCAACCTCTAGGAAAGCTAATGGTACCTTCGGCTCAGAGGCAAATCCCGATTAGTCTCAAATCACTGGGAGATCACACATACCCTTCACCCCTGATTAGTTTGCCCTAGGCATGTGACATACATCTGGCTAATATAACCAGGAAAGTGGGGTCTCCTGAGAAAGATTTCCTCACTGTTACAAAGGGAAGCTCAGAGAGGCAGCCGCTTCCTCCTTGGGTCATTTTCCCATGTCAACAGGATGCCAGGAGCAATGCAGGCATCTTGCAATCACACAAGAACAAGCCCGAGGCTGAAACTCCTCCCCAGAACCCACCTCTATACAGAATTCTTATTACAAAGGATAAAGAAATTTCCTCATTGTAAAATCTACTACAGTGGGTTGCCTGTTACTTGCAGTCGAAAGCATGCAATCTGATACAGGCTCCATAAGTTAGAACCAATGATAATCCTCAATTTATAGAACAGAGCATGAGGCACAGAGGAATGAATGAACCTGAGTAAGACAGAACTTACCTTAAAGCCATGCTGAACCAGACCACGGCCAGAATCAGCGTGTTCATCCTGTAGGGCCCCAGCACACAGTATAGAGCATTATCCCAGACCTATAACCACACCAAAGAAAGGTTATTAAAGGAACTTGTGACTGGGCAGAGCTCACTTCCAAGATTTTCTAATAAGTTGCCTAGGAATCCATGGAGAGAATGACAGCCATTATCTCCTAGAGGCAGCAATTCTGTTCAAACAACACGGAAAGCCTCTTCTCTTCTTACTGGCTGGCCTCAACCTCTAACAGTCCTGTAGCATCTCTCCTGGAAACACAAAAAATATTCCATCCTTGTGATCAAAAGCACAGAGTGGGGATTACGAGGCACTGAATAACCTTGAGTAGTGAGTCCTGCTCCCTGCCTGTGGGGATGGGTGATACTCCAAACATTTAATGACCATACACCACGAAGGTCATCCAGTCTCAGTAGACTCTGGCCATCGGCTGCCTTGGTGCTCAACAACTGACTTGCCTGTAGGAGCCACTTCTCCAAAGAAATGGCCTTGCCCTTTATGAAGATGTTCTCAGAAATCACTGACAAACCTCAAGGGGTCGTTTCTTTCACTCCCTCCTTTCTTCCTATGGATTCTTCAAAGAAAAATTGCCAGACAGAATAATGTCTACTCAGACTTGACATTTTCTCTACATTCAAAATCTCTGCCTCGGGAAGGAAGCGCAAAGAAAAGAAAATAAGGGGCCGGCCTGGTGGCGCAGCAGTTAAGTTCACACGTTCCGCTTCCGCGGCCTGGGGTTCGCCGGTTCGGACCCTGTGTATGCACCTATGCACTGCTTGTCAAGTCATGCTGTGGCAGGCGTCCCACATATAAAGTAGAGGAAGATGGCACGAATGTTGGCTCAGGGCCAGTCTTCCTCAGCAAAAAAGAGGAGGATTGGCAGCAGATGTTAGCTCAGGGTTAATCTTCCTCAAAAAAAAGAAAAAGAAAAGAAAAGAAGATTTAGAGAGTTTGTGGCTCAAGGCACACAGCCGTGAGAAGCAGGCATGGGCTAGGATCCAAACATCCCCATCCAGGGTTGCTTCGTCTCCACCGTAACTGCCTTGGGTTGACAGGGTAGTCCAGGGTCTTTATTCTTTATCCACTGAGGTTACAGATTTCCACAGAGCCTCCCTCTCATCCACCACACGTCCCCAGTCATACCTGCTTGAAAGTGGTCTTGAACCTGACGAGCCAGCGCTGGTACCAAGTTCCTGTTGAACTTTGGATCTCAATGAATTCATCCATTTGCTTGGGAGTTTTGATGTTGGAAACCTGTAAAGCAAAGATGGGCGAGAGAATCTTAACCCACTCTGTGTCAGACTTTTTAATTTTTCGTCTAATGTCACTGACTTTACTAACTTATGGAGGGCTAGAGGAGCCTTTGGTGACCCTCTCATTCAGTGATTCTTTTTTTATTTTTTTAAAGATTGGCACCTGAGCTAACATCTGTTGCCAATCTTCTTTTTTTTCTTCTTCTCCCCATAGCCCCCCAGCACATAGTTGTATATTCTAGTTATATGTCCTTCTGGTTGTGCTGTGTGGGACACCGCCTCAGCATGGCCTGATGAGCAGTGATAGGTCCGTGCCCAGGATCCAAACCCGCAAAACCCTGGGCTGCGGAAGCGCAACACGTGAACTTAACCACTTGACCACAGGGCCGGTCCCTCGTTCAGTCATTCTTCACCAAAAACGTACACAGCATCTCCCAGGGATCTTCGTCCCACTGCAGACAAAACGAATCAGTCTCTTCACAAAATCATGCCTTTGGGAAATCAGTGGGCCATAATACACTGAATTCCCATTTATATTTGACTTGCCCACAGCAGAGCTGACTCCACCTTAACGTTCACAAGTCTATCCTTAATGGGTATTAACATCACAGAAGTCTGGATCCCATGTAGGCACCCCTTAGAGAATCTGGTACAAGCTTATCCTCCCATTCCCAGGAGCGTGGGCTCTGCAGATGCTCTTCCACCTGGGCTCAGACGGCGCCACCGCAGAGCCAACACAGCAGGCCCTGCAGAACCCCGGCTGGAGCTGGGCTTCCTGTTATCAGATACCCGGGGATTCCATGCACCCTGACTGCAGCCAGAAGAGGCCAGAGGGAAGGCTGACCCAAATCCGGAAGCACCTTAAAAACCACACTCCAAAGCAATAAACTAGCCACTCAAATGCAAATTTTTCTTTTCTTTGCTCCTAGGGAAAATAACACCCTATTCCCTAGGGATTTGGGAGTGGGTGTGTTGACAACTTCGAACATAATTACTCTAATTTACAATTAACTAGGATACTTGTCTTCAGTTCAGTCTAAATTAGAAGATGGTCTGTGTTCACCCAGCCCCGCAGAACTCTGGTTCCCAGGGGACCCTTTCCAAAGGTTTCACAGGGGACAGCTACCACCTGGCAGTTAGGAGCTCATGAGGCAGTGAATGAGGCTGGTGACACCCAGGGCTCTGCAGGGGAGGAAAAAGTTTCCCTTGACCCTCTTAGGGTCCCTGACTGGGGCTGAAAATTCAACTGACAAAGACAGACTAACAGAAGAAAATCTTATTGAATTTTCACATGTCCATGGGAGCCGTCACAAGGGAATGAAGACTCGAAGAAGTGACCAGAGCAAGAGGCTTCTATACCCTTTAAACAAAGAAAAAACAAATTTGTGAAGAATTGACAAGACAGAGGGGTTTGGGCTAGGGGTAGTAAATGGTGAAGAAGTAACTAGGATGATAAGAGTTAGATTAACCAGGTTTGTGTACACAGCCTTCTCTGCTGATAAGAGCATCTTCTTTCCCCCCCGGTACGGGGGATGCACCTTTCACACTGGAGATTGATGACCTGTTTCAGGGAAGAAGAGCGAGCGGGAAGAGGTCAGAGTGACGTTTCTGGTTCTGCTGTTCTCTCAAACCCCTTCAGGTCCAGATATTCCATATGCCAAGGGGCCATATTCTGCAGTAGCATGTCCTGAACTCCATCAGCTGGAAGGTAAGAGCGGGGAGGGCAGCATCCGGCACTCACCATGAACCCCACCACCAATTGAGAGCCTGACCCGTCCTGAGCTCTTCCTCCAGGCTGCTGAGCACAGTTATGAGGGCAGCGCACAGGAGCAAAGCACGAAACCCCATCCAGGGGGCTGAGTGTTCACGCCTGACTACCAGCCACAGCTCGCTGAGGTCAGTCAACACTTTCCGGTTGGTCCTTTTCTTTTCTTTTTTCCTGGCCCATCCAGACATCCACTCCTACTTAGTTAATACAGTCACCAAGTCAGTATGGAATAATGAGCCTAACCTTTTTCATTCCCTTTCCCATTGAGTGAAACCCACTAAAAGCAAGGTTATGTCTGAGGACGAGGTAACTAGCATGGGTGCTGGTGTGAGACAAAACGCCCGTGTTTCATAGCCCCATGCTCGCTGACTTCTGCCTGGACTCTCTTCCTGGGGCAAGCGAGGACTCTGGTCCCAAAGAAAAAAGGCTTTGCTTTTGCCTTTGAAAATTGGAGGTTTTACTGATTTCCAGGCTAGGATTTCATCCCTCAAAATTAGGCTTTCTACGTTAGAATGGGTTGTTAACATGGGATCACTTCTCCAGAAAGGGGCTTACAGTCAGGCAAGCCCATGCAGCTGGTTGAGAAAGTGGTCCTTTCGAGAAGCAACATTAGGAAAACCCACTATGTGTAAGGTACTGCCCTGTGGGGGGTGGGGAAGGTCGGGATGGGTTTACAGTCACCTGGGGAAGGCAGAGACACACACACAAGTGAAGTGGCGAGTAATCTATCCAGCAGGACCCCTCTTAGGAGAGCTCCAGGCGTGTTTGGAATAAATATGTTAATGAAGTGCTTGAGGTGTGGGAGAATCCCAGGGAGACGCCACTCCAACTTGAAAGACCAGGAACCTACTGTGCATGAGCCAAGCAGAAGAATTTGTTTTATTCCGGAGGGAGAAGATTAGAGAGTATGGGGAAAGGAGATGGAGATTAAAGAGGAGAAAAAGAGGAGGAGGACGCGGCAGGGAGAAAAGAAGGAGAAGGCTGTGTACTCTGTAAGTGTGTGTGTGTGTGTGTGTGTATGTGTGTATGAGTCTGTGTCTTTGTGTCTGTGTCTGTGTGTGTCTGTATATATATGTGTGTGTGTGTGTGTGTGTGTGTCTCTGTGCACGTGTGTCTGTGTATCTTAATATGTCTGTGTATGTGTGTGTTTCATACCAGGTTGATGTGATAGAAAATGAATCCAGCAGATGTGGATTCAGAGGCTGGGGGCAGAGGCAGAAGACAGTGAATAAGCAGGAGCTCAGAGAGCAGGCTATGGAATGGGTGGGGGGTGGAGGGCAGGACTGAGCAAGCACACCCAGATCCCAGTGGACAGGGAGCCCCTGCTAACATCTGGTACCCACACCTGCAGTCAAGCTGCAGCATTACAATCCATCACACAGAGTGATGGGGATGGGGGTTGGGAGAGCCATCTACACCCTTAACATCTTTCATTTGCAGCATTTCTGTTAATTGTGCTTCTTAATAAATGTTTGTGATAAAAGCACTGGCCCCATATTTTGGGTAATTCTAGAAGCATTGGAATTAGGGAAATATGCCATTGAGCAGCTTTCCATAAACTTTATTACTTGAGTTAATTTACGAAAACATATCACAACATTTTAGAATATTAGTTAACATCTATGCAGCCCTTACTCCAAGTTAGGCATGGTTTTAGGTTAATCTCCCTTATTAATCTTTACCATAACCATATTTAAAGACATTATTATCCCTTTTTTCCCCAATAAGAAATTGAGGCACAGAGAGTACCTCGGCTAAGGCCACACAGCTAGAAAGTGCCAAAACTGGGATTTCGATCCAGACTGTCTGGCCCCATGTTGCAAATTAGCTGCCATGTGGTCCTGCCTGAGAATCAGGGGTTTTAAGCAATGGGTTAACAAGGACAAGCATTTTACACCAGACTCAAATTATGGAAGCCAAAGACACCAAAGCAGTGAGTCAGAGTAGGTGAGTGTTAACCCAGGAAGTCTTCCTCGGGGGAAATGGATGTGAAGTTGCTCCAAAAGGAAGTTATGCAAACTGGTACGCAGAGATGCCTGCAGCGGGCATTCCTCGTCATTGGCCACAGAGCTTGATGGGCAGGAGCACCCATCCCGGTAACTAACAGGACATCTTCATGGAAATTTCCATTTACTAGTCTTTCACTTTTTAAACTAGAAAGAAACAAAATTTAGGCTAACAGCTAGGATGCTGTCAGGGTGCAGAGACATGGGTATCCTGTTGATTGTGGCACTGTAGACTGGTACAGCCCCACTGAAACATAATTTGGCAATATATCTCAAGAGCTATTAAATACTCACACTCCTTGAGCCAGTCATTTATTTTATTTCTAGGAGTCTACTCTTAAAAAAGAAACCCAGAAGGTGAAAGAGAAGGAATTATGTGCATGAGAAGGTTTGTTGCAGCAATATTTATAGGAACAAGAAAATAAATCTCTAACGTTAGGGACACGGGTTAATGTTCCTAACAGTACTGTTCATTAAAAGGATGGTTATGACCAGTAAGAGACAACATATAAAATGCTTATGAGTACTCTTAAATCACATGTATATGTAAATATGTGTACATATGCTTACCCCACATGAACACAGCTAGTTTTTCTGTTGTTTTTTAACAATTAGCAGTACCGAGAAAGATATTCATCAAAATGCAAAGGATAATTATGACACAGTAATGAGAATGTCAAGGCTTTTATTCTCCTTTTGACAAATTTTCTGTGATGTGCTTATGTAATAATTTTTAGCAAACCAAAACAGTAAAGAAGAGATGCCCCCCTCTTGCTGGCAGAGGTGACCCCTCACTCACCGTGAACACCTTCTCCGGGGCCCCCTTAGCCCTCATGTTGGTGTCATGCACTTGCTTGAGAATCATCCAGGCTTCGTCATGTTTGCCCATCTGGTAAAACCAAGGAAAGAGACATGAAAAATCCATTGCTGATTAAGGATGGGAATTCCTACAAACCCAAGGGAGAGCTGGCACCTGAGCCTGAGGCCATTAGACATGGACTCATTACTATCTAGGGCTTGTGAAAGACGAGGACAAGTTTCTGTCCCGAGTCCACCTTAGAAGGATAGTAAGATTGTGCCTTCAAGGTGTAAATGCTACATATTACCGTCACCATACATTATGAGTAACTACTCGTAGTTGTAAGGTTGAATAGATGGCTGGGTGGGAGCCATGTTCCTGACAAACGAGGTAAAGCAAAGAAGCAACATGCTATGGATTGAATGGCGTCCCCAGCAAAAAAGATATGTTGAAGTCCTAACCCCCAGTACCTCGGAACGTGACCTTATTTGGAAATAGCATTGCTACAGATGTAATTAATTGTGTTAAGCTGAGGTCCTACTGGAGGAGGGGGGGGGGTCCCTAATCCAATATGACTCATGACCTTGTAAGAAGACGGCCATGTGAAGTTGCAGAGACACACAGGGAGAACGCATGTGGTGACAAAGGCAGGGACTGGAGTGATGCAGCTGCGAGCCAAGGAACGCCAAAAATTGAGGGCAAACCACCAGAAGCTCCAAGAGCAAGGAAGGAGTCCCCTACAGGCTTTCGGGGGCACGTGGCCTTGCTGACACCTTGATTTGGGACTTGTAACCTCCAGAACTGTGAGCCAATAAATTTCTGTTACTCTAAGCCACTCTGTTTGTGGTCTTTTGTTACAGCAGCCTGGGGAAACTGATCTGCAATAAAGGGTAACTTCCGAGATGCCACTGGTTAAAAAAACTCCCTGCTGCATCTGGCCCCAGGAGGGCACCCCACACCTCCACCCAGCCTTGGGGAACAGTCCTGCTGCTGGGTGCTCAGTGAGCTCCTGAGCCCCTCCAGCTCTGAGAGTCCATCCAGGGCATGCAACCATCACAGAGAGCAATGGAGCCCGATTTATAGACGGGCCAGGTCGGCCAACATGGGGGGGTTTGCAACATGCAAGCAGGAGAGGAGGCAAGACTCAGGGGCTGAGAAAGCAGCACTAGCTCCTGTCTCAGTGCCATCACTCTCCCAGGGCAATGTAGGGGGAGGGGGGCTGACTCACCTCTAGCAGAAACCTTGGGCTCTCTGGCATGAACCTCAGGGCCACCATGGACACAGTGCAGGGCAGAGCGCAGACGATGACAAACACTCTCCAGCTGTGGAAGTGGTAATTGGTGCCCATGCTGAAGCCCCATCCTGTGAGGAAGCAGGCAGAGGATTTCAGACACGTGGTCTTAGAGTGACATTAAAGATATTGGCTCAAGGGGCCAACCCAGAGGTGTAGTGGTTAAGTTCAGCACACACCACTTTGGCAGCCTGGATTTACGGGTTTGGATCCCAAGTGCAGACCTACACCACTCATCCAGCCATGCTGTGGTGGCAACCCACATACCAAATAGAGGAAGACTGCCACAGATGTTAGCTCAGGGCCAATCTTCCTCACAAAAAAAGGGGGATGGGGGAGACACTGGCTACTGGCTCTCAAACTATAGGGCACAAGAGCAACCCCTGGGGCACAGGTTAACAAGCAGACTCCCCAGCTGTGCCCCCAAAGCTTCTGATTCCAAAGTCAAGGATAGGTGCTGGGAATCTGCATTTTAACAACCCCTAGATAGGCCTGGACTGACATTTATAGGGACTTGGGTAGGAGTACAGATAGAGGCAACACACCATATTTCTATATATTCATTAAAATCTACATTAACAAGCTGTTACATAAGAGATGTTCTATCCTTCTGCCTTGACAAATAAGGAGCTGGAAGGCCAGGCCCAGAATTACACAGAACCCACCCTGGCAGGACCCCCTTCTTTTCCCTCGCCCCGCCCTTCCTGCAGAGTGAGGGGCCTCATGTGACAGGTGTGGACACACACTCACACCACCATGGTGAGAATGGGTGTCCTTGTCGTGATCCCTTGAATTTAGTGGGAATTCCTGGGTCCTGAGCACCGAGCGGGTGATCTGGATGAAGGGGGGGGTCATGATCTCGGGGATCCCTTGCCTCATGGGAAGGGGTGTGGCTGGAGGAGAGCAAAGCAGGGCCTTATATGACCCAGGGTTTCAATCAGAGATCCCTCTTCCCCAGGTCAAAGGGTAATACCAGCTCCAGGTGACTCCAATGCACAGGGTTCAGGAGCACACTTTGAAAAACACTGTCAGTCATAGTATGAATTTTTTTCAATTTAAAAGAATTGAACTTCTATATTTAAATGATTTCTACCATCATTGAAACGGGGAGGTGACCAGCTCCTACTCAGCTGTCGTTATTCAAAGCATTCCTAAGATTCATTTTCAGAAACTGCCTTCAGGATCTACAAAACATTATCCTGAATAGCCTCATGGGGAGCAAATTTTCCTCTTCTGAGGAACATTACACAGTGGAAAAAGGCTGGACTTTTGTAAATCCTGGCTTTCTCACACCGTTATTGTGTCGGTGTGTTTTCACAGCTGTAGACTGCAGGTCATGATACCTCCACAGATTTGCTATGTGGGAAAGCTCCCAGCAACCAATAATAATTCACCAGCTTTGAGGGTAGATTTGACTTTTTTAGAAAAGCTACATGACATTTAGTGCCAGAGATTTTGAGTAAAATAGATGAATATCAGTAAAGGTCAGCAAAAGAATTGTGTCTGTGTTTTTTTAAAAAAAGCCAAGGTTATAAAATAAAGAGACTAATCTTCTCATGCCGCTCCATCTCTGAAGACAATTCCACAAGTATTTGTTAAAAAGACAAAAGCATATAAATAAACATTGATTTTCTAAAGTTCAGACAGTGGTTATTATTTGGATGCAAAATCTCTATTCCATTTACTTAAAAATATACCATATGGCCAACTCCGGAGGGGAGCAGTTTATGTCCTAAATTCTCCATTACTCCCCATCGCGGTTCAATTTATTCTACGTGCAGTGAAGGCCTAACCAATATCTGCTTTTTCTGCAGCTATTTCTTACTCGATTTGCACAATGGAAGGACTAGCCACAGGGAATCCCAGGTGGAAAAATGTGGGACTGTGGTTGCTTTGACACATTGGCCACAGGACACAACCCACATGTCACCCAACGTTCTCCATCAGACTCAAATCTCTTTTTGCACAGCATGGTGCCTCCTGCTTCCCATGTCACTGGGGTCTGTTTGTTCATTTAATTTTAACTAAAAAGCCTTTCCTTTCTCCTGGGAGTGACACTAGAATGAGGAAGATAAAAGTATAGTAATATTTACACATTCTCAGCTCATATCCAAAAGCTATTGTGGCGTAATTAGAAGTGAAGTTGATCACAGCTACATAACAAACTCCTGTGGTCACAAGGGAAAAGGGGCAGAAGTAGGTATTTTTATAATATATTCTGCCTCAGAAAGATTTTTGCCTTTATGATAATACATATAAATTATCCAAAATCCATTTTCTCTCATGCCTCTACGGGTTTTATGGTGATTTTAGTAATCTGCGCTTATCACATCCATTAGGCACATCTTTGGGGCCTTAAATTAAATAAAACTAAACAGCGAAGTGCTTCCAAATATATGGAGCGACTATTAATTTGGAGACAGGGATTGTTCTGTTCACTGATCTTTTAGCTCGCCCTGCTTTTCTCCATGAGGATTTCACAAACAACTGGCGGAGCTGACTACAATGGGAATAATCTTCCATAATATATCCATTTTTTCTGGGCCGTGCCCATGAATTCCCAGGAAAACATTCTGAGTTTTGTAATTTTCTCTCTCAATGACTCAGTCTCCCAAATTCCTGGCGCCAAGACCTCCCATCACTTCATTCCTGCAAAAGCAATTAAATGGGTTGCGCAAGCCTCCCATCACATCCATCTCCTTTCTGTAGTTACCCTTGCATTTGTCTCTGCTGGGCGGAGGGGGTGTTAGAGGATTAACATCTTAGGCATGTTGAGAAATATTGTCAAATGTCTGGTTCACTGTGGACAAAACATCTGATTCTGGTAAAATAAGGCTTAAAATAAATAATCACTCCTGTTATACTGTGATGCTGGTCTACCATATTTCTAGGATGGGTTTCCCCCAAGCTGATGACTGTTTCAATGAAGGCCAGTCTTCCCAGAGGCCTGTATTTTAAAATGGAATGTAAAAGTCACAGATTTGATACAGGCATACAAATACGAAGAAAGCCTGCCCACTTGAGGTAAAATTTTTAACCACAAGCCCTTCTGTCAGCCAGCAGAGGTCAGCCAGCAGCCATGTGGTGCCTCTGCCATGGGCATCCCATTCGGTCTTGGTCAACATGCTCCCAACCTGAATTCTTTAGTTCCTTTCTTGGCAACCAGACATCCAGAGGTTGGTGTGTGTCTGTGTGTGTAAAGTGAAGTGAAAAAATTATGCAGTTTGTAGCAACTATTGTGGGTTGCTCCCCTCACAACATCCCTCCCATCCTTGCTTCTCCACGGTGTTGCAGACATGTGGTTTGGGTACCAGGGATGCAGAAGGAAGTACATCGAAACCATTCGGGCTTTGGATCCTCTGGGGTATAGTGATTGGCTGAGGTGGGCACATGACCTAAGCTGATCCAATCAGAGGGAAGCTAAAGACCTTTGCTCATTGGTCAGGTGTGAGGCGTGCTTCCCTCATGGAATAAGCAGTCTACAAACAGAAGGTCTAGAATTAATAATGCTGCCAGAAGGGAAGCTAGCCTGAGTACTAGAATCATCTCAAAAATTTTCTGGTCATTCCTCTTGGCATCCCAAGAACTGCTGAATGTTAGGCTGGCACAGATCTCTACAGTCCATTCTCTTTGCTCCCTTCCTCGCTCCATCTTACAGGTGAAGGAACCAAGGCTGGACAAAATGGAGTGATTTGTCCTAGATCACACAGCACCACTATTCTGACTCAGCTTTTAGTCTGATTTTATTTGTCTCCCTCCCCAAAAAGGTTTTTTACTCACTTAACTCAAATGTGGAAATAATGTCTTAGTGTTCACCCATTTGGATCAGTTAACAGGGGAAATGATACTATAGCAAGTATTGTGAGGAAAAAAAGGCAATTCCTCAGACTCATATAATCAACAGCATAGCATATGGATAATTAAAGTGTGTGTTTGGGTGAAGGGTAGAGGGCAGAGCCTGAAACTAGGAGTAAGACAATTTTGTATCTAAAATTATGGAGAACCACTTTTGGTGACAGAATTATCTAGAAAACTCTTCAACTCTTTATTTCATGATCCATGTTCAGATTTCTTCTGTTTCTGCTACAAAATCCAGTGGGTTCTCAAATACTAGATATGGCAAAGATTCCATGATGTTCCCAAAGCCATTTCCTCTACTTTCTGGGCACATAACTAGATTATGTTTCCAAGCATCCTTTGCAGGAGGGTGTAATCATATTACAGATTTGGGGCCAATGGGATGTGAGCAGAGAGGATATGCTCCACTTCCTAGCCTGTCCTTCAAAACCACCCACACACAACTGCTCACGCTCTTTCCCCACCCTGGAGACCTCCAAGCCACTCGCTGAAGATGGCAGAATCACATGCTGGAAGGGAGACCCCAGAAACTCCTGACGGAGCAGAGCCCCCTGCAGATCAGAAACATCAGCCAGACTTTACAGGAGGCACTCCTGTGCCTCTACTGTGTCAAACCATTGAGATTTCAGGGTTTATCAGGTTATCAGGGTAATGCACCTAGCATCTTCTCAACTAATACAGTAGACAATGTCTACACCCAAGCGTCTTCTTAAAAAGATATATATGGAGCATCCATTAGCTCAGAACACACAGAGAGGGTCGGATTTAAAACAAGGACACCAAGGAGGTGAATGGGTAGAGAAGTGTTGGTTAGCTGCAGGGGCCGTTGTCTGCTCCTCCCATCTGTCTGCAGAATTCTAAATGATGGCAAAGCCTACACCCATAACTGGTGGTTCATGGAAAATGGTTTTGAAGGATGGAGATGGCATTGCCCAGGATACTCAAAAGGCACAATCGAATTCAAGACTGCTGCCTTCTCCCTAATTTACTCTTGACAAAACCAATTGTGAAAGTTAATGTTGCCAGATCTCTGTCCAGAGAATCCAGTTTTTGCAATTATCCAGGATAATAAAATTGCCCCGGCTGAAACCAAGACCTTGTAAGGGCTGTTTCCCTTCTGCAGCCAAACGAGAGTGAGGGCAGGCACCAGAGTGGACTGCCACACAGGGGTAGGGGTTGGGCACCAGGATTCAAGGTCACGCCAGGGGCATGACCTTAGCCATGTCACCAACTTCTCTTGGGTTCTGTTACATCCACTATAAACTGGGGTACCAGAGCTTAACTTACCCAGGGGAGGAAGGCTGGAGGAGATGAAGGTTGCAATGCTTTCAAATGAAAGGAAGGAAAGAAGAAAGAAAAGAAGAGAGGGAGAGAGAGAGGACAGACTGTATTATTTCCAGAAAGACATGTGTATCGAAACCATCAATGTGTCTCTAGTGTTGGAAGTTCTTTAGAAAGACCAGGATCATACACAGAAAATGTGTGTGAGTATGAGGAATGAGACTGTGGATAGGAAATGTTGTTCAGATGCAGCTGCCATAGAAACAGGGGCCGCTGGGCTTCTTTAAGCCAGTGCACTCACCGTAGTGTGGAATGATGCTCCAGGCCATGGCAGATGCATAGATGCCCCCAGTCATCCAGAAGATGCCCAACCAACTGAGGTGCTCTCCTCTCTTCTCCCGAGACAAGAATTCAGAAAAATAGGTAAACACAATGGGCAGAGCACCCCCAATACTGCAGAGAGAAAATGCCAAAAAGAAAAAAAGCAAGTCATACACTAAAAATGGTCATAGCAGAAACCAAGTTGCCTTATAGCCCAGTCTTAGGCTCTGTGGTAAAACAACTCAGTGAATTTGAAAGACCAGCCAACAAGGTGTTGGGTTATTTTCACCATATACACTGACTTTGCAACCTAACCCCTTTCTAAGCTTCAACTTTAATACAGTATCTTGGAAGTCAAACAAAATACCCAGTCCAAGGTTTTCTGGAGGACCACTCAGAGCAAGAGTACCAGAACGGATGGACCATTGGTCTGGGAGGGTCCAGCTGAGGCTTTGCAATTACTTACCCTATGCCTGAGATGAGTCGGCAGAAGAGGAAGGCGCCATATCCTTGCACGAAAGAGGAGAGGGAAGCGAAGGAGGCGTTGACAGCCAGCGACATGCTGAGGACTCTCTTCCTCCCCAGCTTATCGGCCAGGCCCCCCAGGACGAAGGCCCCTGCCATCATTCCTAGGTAGACTATGAGCCCTTTGAAGAGAAGAGAGAAAGGGGAGAGGGAGGAGAGAGTAGACAGACATTAGAGACCATGTGATGTTTTAGAAAATTCAACGTCTATTTTTATGCATCCTGGAAATTCCGTGTCACAGCCATAAAGGGTGGAATGTAACAGATGTCGGTGGCAAATTAGAAGTGCTATCCAAATGTGACATCTTAGAAATGCTATTCAAAAAAAATAGACTCACCAGGTTTACACATATGTACACGTACTGAAATAGATCAACCACGAGCGGGATGATGTACTTTTCTTAAAGACTCCTCTTAGATGCAGAATCCACAGAGGAGGGTAATGCTGTCATTTTATTGTTAAGCAAAAAAAAAAAGTGTCCTTACCTGCAGGGTTGTGTTTAAAGAGAAAAATTTCAGGGAAAACCATAGCAAAGCAGGTATGAGGAACATTAGGAGGGGCGAAAATGGTGCAAGTGAAAAACAACAAGATTGCAATCAAGATCAGCTATTATAAAAAATACCCAAGAAGGACCTTTACAAGCTACAGCCAGTGTTCATGTTTCTTAGTGGAATGTGGAAGAGAGTAGCAACGAGCTGCCCTTTCTTGAACACATGTAACTACTGCTTGCCTTATGATAAAATTAGTTAATTTGAGATATCATATAAATACATTGTTGTAGACACGTTTATGGTGTTCCAGTGAAAACCAGCATCCTCACAGAGGTGGCAAATCTCCAGAAGCATATGGATAATTCTTTCCTGTTAAATATTGAGTGCTTACCCATTATCAATGACCATGCTAAGTACCTACATTATTTTAATAGATCTTTACTAAGCCCATGAAGGAAATTTCTCAGAATGTCTTTCATGCAGAGAAAATATTGAATACAAATTATATCTAAGTATCCTTTTGCCCAGCCTCGACTGTAAATCAAACAATGAACACAAATCCTCTTTCACAGAAAGGAAGCTTCTCCTGGACCTGCAGATGCTTTATTTATGCAGATATGTGCTGAGAAGGTTCGACCTAGCGCAGAGCTTCAATTTGCTGGTTGATCCAACTGAAGGTAGGTTCCCAAAAAGAGAAATTTGACTACGCTCTGCTTTATCTTCTTCTGTGACAGACTTCCTTCTTTTATTGTTTTATCCTCTGAAAAGAAATAACTTTGGTATCATGAATGGTTTTCACTAAATAGGATTTTCCTCGCTCACCTGCATTGTAACTTTTAATCTCTATTTAGCTCACAGTCACGAAATATGTTATTTCTCTTTTCTTTTCCCTATATGATGTCACTTCATGAAACAAGCCTATGAGTCTGCAAGTATTTACGAAATGTCTGTTATTAGGTAAGCGGTGTTTTCATTACTGGGGACACAGCAGGATACAAACACATGAAAATCTCTGCCTTTGAGGAGCTTACATGTTAGATGGGGAAAAGAGATAATAAACAAATAAGTGAGTACAACATATAGTACCTGGGTTACTGATAAGAGTTATAGAGAAAAGCACTGCAGAGGAGGGGAATAGCGAGAGCCAGGGTGGAAGGTAGATGGCAATTTTAAATAAGGTGGTTCAGGAAGCCCCCACCAAGATGCGAAATTTGGACAAAGACTCAAAGGGAGCCAAACATGGGGCTCTCTAGGGGACATTGCTGAACCCATGCTCCTGGACCTGAGGTTTCTCCAAAAATTGGAAGATGCCCAGAGAAGTGATGGAGAGAGGTCTTCCCATTCTATTTAAACAGTTTCCCAGCTCACAGCTCAGAAAATGTAGTAAGCAATTTCCCACAATTTTAAGTCACTGACACTTGTGTTTGAGAAAATGAGTCAAGACTTGCAAATCCAACTCACGCATGCGTCATACTGTATTGTAATAATGTGTGGGTCAGTGTTCCCTACTAGACTATGAGTTTATCTGCCTGAATCAGCCCTGATCAACCAAGCGTTTCCAACATCTGCTTCCCTGCAGACTTAGTCTTTCCCAGGTCTGAGCCATTGAGTGTTATGTCTAGCAGGACCACCTTACTCACTGATGAGAGTATCTTAAAGCCATCTTCTGTCGCCATGATCCAGCTCCATGAAAAATGAACCATGACTCATCTCCACCAAGAAAATCTGAGTGAGCCTCAGGCTGCAGCCTCCCCACTACTCTCACCTGGTGATACTATGCTGCCTGACTGGCTTTGTCCTGAGATCCTGGTCCCCATGCTAGTTTCCTACCATCATCTGATGCTCCAACCAATTGGAAAAGTCCTCTGCCCATGCCCAACCAGGTCCTCCCCAGGAAAGAACTGGGCTCTGCTTCCTCTGATTTAGACAATATCTGAGATAGCCACATCTGAAATAACCTGCTCTTCCTCTCCGACCTCAAGATAGACCCCTGGGATATCATCACCAGCCCAACTCACAGTACATCATTCCTCGTACTTGGTAATTTAAACTTCTAGACCAGAGCAGGAAGAGAATTTTTTTCCAAGTTAGGTCTGTTCAGCTTTCAACCGTTCTTGGCCTCAGCTTCCAAGAATTTGCCAAGAATTTCCAATATCCCATGACACCTGGTCAATAAACATCTGGAATAAAGAAACAGACGTTGAAAGGAAGGAAGAGAGGGAGAGAGGGAAAGAGGGAGAGAGTCCTGCCCAAACTGTAGATCCATGAGCAAAGTAAATGCTATGGTTGCTTTAAGCCACTGAGTTATACAGCAATAGATAACTGCACAGTAAGTGCCTAACAACCTTAAGGAGCCTAATATATCACATAATAGCAGTAAAATAGCAAACATAGAGTGAGCATTTACCCACTAGACAGACTCCTTGTCAAGCATTTCACAGGCATTGCTGACCCCATTTAATGCTTGCAACAACCCATTGAAGTAGATACTATTATTATCCCTGTTTTATACAGGGAACTTGATTCACAGAGATGTAAAGAAGCTCCCCAAGGTCATACAACTAGTGGAGGTACCAAGACTTTGAGTGAGTAGTTCTGACTTCAGAGGTGATGCTTTAACAACTACACTTACTGCTCTTTATAGATAACCATTGCTCAGACTTCTTAGCTCTGTCTTAGTTCATTCTTTCATCATTTGCTCATCCCCAGGACTGCTTGCTAAGTGGAGCATGGTTCCTTCCATTCAAGGAGATAAACAATAAAGTCTGTGATTATCTCCCGGTGAGAAAAAGAGCTCCAATACAGGCCTATGACAGGTATTGTAGAAACACGGAGAAGGCGCGCAGCTTGGACACACCTCCCTCCATGTGGGAAGGCTCCAAGAGAAAAGCATTGAGCTGTTGTTGAAGAACAAACAGAAGTTAGTCAGGTCTCCATCTCTGTGATGGGGGGAGTGTATCACAGGCAGAGGCAGACGGCATGTGCAAAGACAGAGAGCCAAAAAGGATGCCCGATGTGTTTGGGCAACTACCTGCAAGTAGTTCAGTGTGAGGAGAGCATGGTGGGAAACCTGGTGAGGGATTCGGGCTGGAAGGCAGGACAGAGGCCAGATCAGAAATGGCTCATAGGGTGTGTGTGCGTGTGCGTGAGAGAGAGAGTATGCATGCATATGTATGAGTACATGCACGTGTGGTTATGTGTGTCGGGGGTGGGGTATTTGCATGCATGTGTGTGGCCCTATAAATTGGGAGTAAGGGAAGAGGGGAAATAGAGGAATGGTCAGGAGATTTACCAAGAACCAATATTTTACACCCTATACCCTGGCCCCACGCTAGAGGAAAACACTAGCACCAGATAAGTTCATTTATTTATTTTTTCACTTCAATAAAGCCATTTTCAGCACTTCTCAAATTTCACTGTACACACAAATCATGAAGCTATCTTGCTAAAATCAGATTCTGATTTTCCAATCCGGTAGGTCAGGAGTAAGGCTTAAGATTCTGCATTTCTAACACGACTGGTGCTGCTGGTCCACAGACCACACTTTGAGCAGTGAGAGGCTGGAGCACACCCATCTGCCTGGAAACATGGTGAGGGCTAGTGGCGAGAATCCTGGCCTTGGAACCCAAAGATCCCATTCACCAGCTGGGTGATTTGGAGGAAAAGCCTCTCCCCCTCCCAGGGCCTTACCACCATGTTGGTAAACTGATTACTGTGCTGGCTAGTCTCCAAGCTGCCTTCCCATTTATTTGCTTTTTAAAAATATAAATCATGAAAGATGAAGTTCTGTGGATTCCCCAAGAAGAAGACATTCAGATTAACAAAATAAGCCCAGACACAAAGTTCTGATTAAACTATTGCAAGAGCCACACAAGACATGTCTGTGGACCATATGTGGCCATAAGTGGCTTCTAGGCCACCGGTTTGCAATCTTAGCAATGAACATGGTGCAGGCTATTAAGCTATTGTGTCTCAGCTCTGAAGCCACCCATCTAGTCCTCAGTTCGTCCACAAACCACATGTGTGCTTTGCTGGTGGCTCCCTGCCAGGCCCTGCCAACACAGGGCACTGGAGAGAGACTTAAAGGCTGGAGAAGGAAGAAAGGACCCGTGCTTTCTATTCCTGTAAGGTCTACCCGAGCAATACTTCCTCACCTGGTAGCAGCAGTGCCTGTCCACAGAGCAGCTGGATCCAATCAGAAGAACCAGCCACATCCTGCCCCTCCCTCCTGTCCCACACCAGCACCAGCCAGCCAGGGCCCCCTCTCCAGAGATCTGAGTTGTAGCTCCATGGGGCCCCTTCTCTGAGCTCCTAAATTATAATAATTCCAATCTCTTCCCTTTATTCCCCAGTCCTAGGCGTGGCAGCTGTTCCCTGCATTCATGACCTCAGTATGCTTTTTAAAAACATTTCACTCATCCAGTTAATAATTTCTATATTAAATTCTCTCTGTTCCAATATCTGGTATGATTTCTGTCTCCTGACTACACCCTGACCAATCCAGACACAGAGGCAGACTGATGAATCTTAGAGCTTAAAGCCTGAATCCAGCCACTTCGCTTTACTAGACCAGGAGGTTGAGCCCCAGAGAAGGTCAGCGACTCTCCAGGAACCTCTCTGCTGGCCCAGGA